ATACATATAGTCTACCGTTGGTAAGTTAGGAAACGCTAGCAAAACATATAAAAGGAAAGATGTCAACGCCAACCCTCCAGGGGCCAGTTATTGACAAACATGACAATTGTTTTTGCAGAAATTATGTGTTTTATGATTATGTAATGATGACTATAGTTCCTTTTTTGAGCGATACACTGGTAGAAATAAATAAATTCGACATAGATGTATTCGAATTTCATTGCATCGAAAAAATATAAAAATTAACACGCAAGTTTGGTAATTTTGAAATAAAAATAATTAATATACTTATACAATGGAGATTACATAAATTATAATTTAATTTTAAAATAAAATTCTCTTATTTTTTCAATAATCACGTGCACATAAGATACGAATAATTCAATTCAGGGACTGATTGATTCAAAAAATGAAAACCGTTTAAAGACATAAGCCTAAACATAAAACATCAAGCTTATCCATTGAGGCCAACTGAACGAGTAAATGGACACTCTGATTGTATGTCAATAGTTATATGTATTTAATTAAGCATTGCGCACATTATGATTTGTTTGCTTGCAAAGCTCATTCAAATAGATCATAAATACCATACAAATACAGTTCAATAGTTATATTTACGTTTTCTGTGCCTCTTATATGTTCTTTTTTAATTTACAATTTATATTTTAAATTCCCGCCTTATCGACAGTCCACACAAATTCGTTCAATAGTTGGAACAGCGTGTTGTCGCTAGCTGATTGGCAAACAAAGTAATACTTTAAAATTTTAACAAACACTTCAATTTTATTCCACAATACAGTATGATATGTCTATAGGGTGATTTAAGTTTATCAAAAGAACTCTGAGCTGAAAGTTAAATTTGAAATTGTTTCGATTTTTCCCCGGAACAAATTCTGCGCATGGATAAATACAGTGAACACCGTAAGTTAATTCGAACTTTTCTCTTTGCTCATTTTGTGGAGAATCCAGACGTGAATTTATTTGTTGATTGTATGGGATTCTGACCTACAGTCGCTAGATTCTATAACAACCTCGTTAATTGACATGTCGTCAGAAACTGAGGAAAATGTGGCTGCAAGACGCGTGAAACTGATATCGTTTGAAGTGAGTGATCTTACGACGGAGAACAGGGGTTCGTTACAAATGTTTGAAATGTTTATGTGTTCTGTGACTTATATCAGTAGGTCTGTAACTTATGTGAAAGCAGGTCTAAAGAATATGTGTATTTCAGACATTTGTAACGAACCCCTGTTGATCAGTGCAGTGTAACAGACGATATATCTGATAAATTAAATGAGTGTTAAAATTGTTTCCATTGCCGGCATTGGTGGCTTCAACCAATGTGCATTTTGTGCGATATTGCAGTCCTTGGTCTTGTTTTTGTTGTAATAAAAGTATTTTTCATTTTTTTTTGCACATAAATTTACAATGACATCGTCAAGTCTCACAATGCCCAGCTATATTTCAGCAGCCGTCATGTTTATTAACATTGAATATTGTAGTTCCGGTCAGTGTTGTATTAATACGCTAAGAATTGTGTCTCGTGCTGCATGGTAATTAAAGTCCCATCAACGACACAGCTTTCAAAGAGGCTATATAGTGACAATGCCATGCAAATGTAAATATTTGATAATGGTTCCTAGTTTTCAGATAAACGAAAGCCTTCTTTGTGTGTCTCTTTGCCTTCCATACATAAAAATGTTACAAATATGTTACAAACGTAATCTTGCTTTAATGCGAATGCCTTTGCGTTCAAGCTCTTTTCTATCAACGACCCATACTCATTTTTATCACAAGATGTGCTGTGTTATCGAGTGAATATACCAATGTCATATTTTTTGCGTATTTACCCATGTATTTTACCTATCAACCCTGTGATTGGTTGTAAGTTTTAATTATTTTAGTTGTGACGTCTGCTTAGGACAAGTACATGACGTCACAGACTTACGCACTAGAGTCAAAATGACTGATTTTTACACTTCAAGGTTGAATGAAAATCGTCGTTTTACACGAATAAATGCCACAAATCTTGAGTATGTGATAAAGAGGAACTTACACTCGTTTTCATTTCTTACGAAATTTACGGAACTCGTCGTGAATTTTTCATTCTAGCTCGCCAGAGGCTCGCTAAATTGAAAAATTTTTAGACTCGTTTTGTAAATCTCATATGATAGGGAAACTCGTGAAAGATCGTATATATATATATAAAGAAATCTTCTGAAAATTAGAAAACACTAATCGTTTATCGTCTTATTGCCCTAAAATATCGAATAATAGCACACATTACAAAACTCATCAACAATATTCACATTTCACTGTGTACTCAGGTTTTATTTAATTTCAAACACATTGATCATTGGACTCTTAGATCATGAATGGTTCCGGTGCCCTACATTCGCTTCCGAAGAATCCATGACAACATACCTCTGAATTATAACAAGCTAAGTCTGTGTTACACCTGACCCGTCGTGTCCATATGTTAAAAGGAGAAGGGCAATTGCCCGGTTTCGAAGAACTTCCTGGAGGAAGACGAAAACATCATACTAATGAAATAGTTGAAAACTAACTATTGTTTTAGACAGAACATATCATATATGAAATGGGCAGAATCTATGTTTTGGAAAAACTAGATAGAACAATGAAAATAAGTAGGAAACATTTAGCCTCTATTAAATTAAAATCATACGAACAGTGGCATATAAAATCTTCACCTAACAATATAATATAATATCCTTTCGCTATGCAAAGACAATACTAAAATAGTAGCAGCTGTGTTATATATAGATTAGGTGCACAATATTTTTCAATGATATCTACTAATTTTCAAATTCAGACACCATATTCATAAAAGGGTTTCCATCTCAGAAACGGAACCTCTCGTGAGGCTTTATCCATAAGAGTTTTTTTTAATAATTATTCGTGTTAACAATACAGTGTTAATTGTGTTGTGTAACTAGCTATAGTTGTAATGCTGTTGGTTGTATATACATACTAGGGATACAGGTCGGCCCGGCAGCGCATGGAGGAGCAAAGCATAGGTAAGGTCTTAGGTCACACAAGCCTTCAATACCAGGACACTGCATGAACTGTCGAAAAAATATCAACGAAAATCAGTTATATTATTTCATAGATGATTGAAGTATACAACTGTTATTATTCACTCAAATTTATGTCAAAAGTGAACAAATCAGTTATTTCAATTTACACGTTTATTTCATATGTATATGTGCATGGAAAGATATATATCTCATATGAGTTTAACTTTGTTATTTGTCTGACATATGTTAAAGGTGTTGAGACTTAACTTAACTACTTTTCGACAACAAGATGACTGATCTGAAAATAAAAAAATCCTAAAAACGAATTTATCTCCAATAAAATAATTCCCGATAATGATCGGTGCGAGATAAATGAGAGTTGAAACTCACCACCAACACTTAACACAAAAGTGAGAGTGGAAGAAAATGGATTTTTTTTTTGTTTAGGTAGAGAATATAATGTGATTACTGTTAGTGAGAAAGAAATTAAAATATACGAGTTGAGAGTGGATAATAGATTTTGCAATTAAATTAGAATCACATAGCTTAGGGAAATCAATTATGGAACTAAAACCAAAACCCAAAAGTTATGATACTATATGTATATATATAGGTATAAAATACGATGATTTAATTTTCGGTAACCAGTTTGCTTTCATACCGGCATTAATGTTAAAACGACGACGAGCATGGAACATTTCTCCTTAATGTCATCTTCTTCCAACAGTTTCACTTTGTCAATCTTGATAACGTTAAATGTTGTTGATTTTTTTTTTAAATGAAATGTTTCATTTTGTGAATGATAGAAATATCTAATCATATATTTTCTTCACTGAATTTCGTTTGCTCTTTATGTCGTTTCGTATTAGTATTCTAACTTGACTGTACAATAACTAGTCATTTCCCTTGGTTAGACTAGTAATTATCGCGTAATATAGGGTTTCTTCTGTTCTTGCTTTTCGTCATTAATGTCGATATTGCCTCTTAAAAATATTTATCCTTCATCTTGTTTATACTATTGTATGTGGTTTTTTTTTAATTTTGTACAAAAACATTTTCCTAAACATTTGATAGATTTACTCGATTTACAATCTCTTCATGACCTTTGGATTTTAACACGTCATGGTAATAGAATGTAAAGTGACAAATATCCGACATTTTGTCAACAATCAATTAGGGAGAAGCAATGCATTTATTAGCATATTTGTGTCGGTTGTGACGACGACGTATTTAGAAATAAATAAAAAGATAAATAGATACCAGGAAGAAATTGACAGCGATAGGACGATAATAACAGTGAATTCAATTTGAAATTACTGCGCTGTATCAACCACAACCTCACATCAACAGAACAGAAGGTAAATCATACGTGTAAGTAATATCCTATTTGATGAAATAAATCAACTACGTCAAACTTTTGTTGACGAATTAATCTTTTTATTTATTTATCAACTTTCGTTTTATAAATATTCAATCCTTGGCTTTCTTGATTTGACATTTCACTCTCAGGACAGTGTCTAGATTATTAATTCTTCGCGTTGTACTGATATGTCACCCATCATCGATGTCTCTACAGGGAAATAGATTTACATAGCCTCACACGTATACCAATGATTAAAATATTACAAAGCATTAGCATCATTTCCAAGAATTTCCTCTGGGTTTATATGAGTATAAATCGTGACAAACTACCTAAGTATTTACACATTTATTGGTTTACGATAATGCTTAAGGAACCATTTCTTTAGATATTCTTTTAATAGGTAATTATGTGTGTGGTTTTTTAAGCTGTCAGTTAAAAACCTTCATTATGATTACTACGAACTATGACATACTATCAGGTAAACAGTAAGTACATTCATCACACATCATTTCCAAGAATTTCCTCTGGGTTTATATGAGTATAAATCGTGACAAACTACCTAAGTATTTACACATTTATTGGTTTACGATAATGCTTAAGGAACCATTTCTTTAGATATTCTTTTAATAGGTAATTATGTGTGTGTTTTTGTAAGCTGTCAGTTAAAAACCTTCATTATGATTACTACGAACTATGACATACTATCAGGTAAACAGTAAGTACATTCATCACACAACACGGGAAATGACAGACGACGGCGAGACAGTTGAACGCCAGTATATAAACACGCAACGATACTGTCCTTTCTATATCAACGTAATGTAATTATGATGAAAGGCACAATTCTTACACTGGTATTTGGGGTAAGTAACAATTAAATCACTGTACTAATACTTTAATGGAAATATGATATAGCCACTTTAACACTGGAATAATATGTAAATATAGAAATAATATGGTATAATTAACTGTTTTCTATATTTTGTTTTAGTTTTTTGTGACGCTTATTTTTCACGAATCTTACGGACAGTTCCCACCTCAGGAATCTGGTAAATGGCGGAATCGTTACATTCAGTATTATTTCCGATACATCTGTAGGGTAAGTTGGTGTTTGGTATTTTGGTATATTGATACAGATATTCAGATCGGTTGCTGTGAAACAAGAGAGATAATAGACTTTCTCGCAAAGATGAAAATAAATGTTAGATGTTTTCTGTTGGCATTGCCATAACGCTTGAACGGTATCATTTAATGGTCAGTTCTTTTGAGTTTTTCGTACACATTTCAAAGCTTGCTTGTGGAATCATATAGAAAAATCATGGGAATGTATAATAATATCTTTTGTTATATAATTCAACGAATACGTATTAAAGATATAAAACATCGAATATCAATCATAGACCTGATATTATATGTTTAATGCGCTAGTGTGTGTTGTCAATAACACGACATCGAAGGGACGGCTTCCTGAAAATCGACGCGAGTGATTAAAAGATGTAAACAAAGTAATGCCGAGCGAAATACCTTGTGTTACATTCACAAGTATTACTAAAGGTCATAACGAGAATCGGGGTTTACTTTGTTGTGTGCACATAATCGAAGTGCCAATATTTTATACATTTGCGTAGGTTTTAAATAATTTGTTATACCTTTTCCCTATTCATTCAGGTGTATATACGTTCAGAACACTTAAGACATGGTTATCATTCCTTTGGCCGTTAGAACTACTGATTAGTGCCAAATGAAAGAAATTTGCATAAGGTGTAGTAAATAATTAATTTGTTTAGTTTTCTGAATCGTCCGACAAAATGTTAAATTTGACATTCCTTACTTTGTATTTCCAGTCATAACAAAAGACATAACAAGCAAAATTTATAATAAACGTAATTTCAAATGGCCTCCATGCAGTTCAATAGGTTAATAGCTTATTTTGCAAATAAAGAAATAAATTTGCATCTAGCTATATACAAAACACGTAGATTGACTAACCATGTCAGTTCCTGTTTTAAAAAAAACACTTTGACAAGCATGTGTTTCTTTTTATCTACACGAATGGTCAATGGTAAAATATTGCTGATATTTTGGGATATTTACATGAACATTTGAACCGTGAGCATGTGCTGTTTATATTTCTGTTGAAACACGAATGGGTGTCATCATCTGATTTATGATAATGGATTTGTATCACTTCTTGTGTTGTAATCATATCATCTGTTAACTGCAGCTCGTTTTTATTTGAAACTACATTCAATAAACTTTCAGTTGTTCAATATTTTCCTTAAGCCTTGCAATAGAGCTATGTTTCGACAACAATTAGCCTGATTATGTCTGTCGACAGGATACCCGGTGTACCGGTTTTGAGGACGTTTGCGAGATCCAACCCATGCCTTGTTTAATTCCTCCATGTCCTGAAGGTCCACAGTGTGTATCGAGTAAGTATACTTGTATAAATATATTTATATATATAGTAGACACCAGCTAATTTAGTAGGCTAGTGATATTGGTTTATGTTGTCTTTATATAGGTTTTTGTTTTATGCAATCTGTACCCTTCTGTTTCAAAATTAGACCAGTTTGGATTGATATCATTTGATCACCTAGCATCACCGATGAGTCCTAGAAGGACGAAACAGCGGTATAATGCAATGTTATATTCAAATACCAAATGTAATAGGCGAAACTGTAATCGAATGTGTGTCTAACGTTCAACTTTCTGTATTATCTTTATATCCAACTATATAATAGACCAATGATGCAGAAATAGATAAAATCCACAATACAACATACATTACATCTAAAGTACTCTGTGTACGTATACGATTTAGCTGGATAAATCAAAGAGTGTTTGCATGTATGACTGAATAAGAACAAGCAAGGATGGTTCAAGTAACATTATTTGATGTGTTTATTATAAGTACTATTGCAATGCTGTTGAAACAAATGTGTTCCAAGATTAATCTTGTAGACTCTCTTACGTAATGTCTGTATATAAAGTATTAAAAGGTTTTAACTGTGGTGTTTACAATATCCTAGAATATCTCTTTCAAAAATGTCTGGGAAAACCTGAAGATATCAATTACATATTGCAGGCTACATTTATATTGCTTAATAGTTGTTAAAAGCCTAAGCATTCTTCATTAAACAGGAATTTTATACTATTTGAATTCTTTCTCTATTCAATATATGCCTTAATGGCTACCATTTCTAATGCTGCAATTATTGATTAAAATCACTCTCATTTTTGTCAAGATAACTCTAAACTTGTTATGTAAACACCACAAAGTGAAACAATTAATTCGGTTTGTCATCATTGCTTTTTTATTTACAGCTCCAGGAAGTACTTCTAAACCTGGTAACTGTCCAGGTCCCTATAGAATTTGGACGAGACGTGCCAGGTGTAACACCGACTATGGTTGTTATGGGTCACAGGTGTGTTGTCATGGTGTCTGGGGAAGCGAATGCAGACCGCCATTTATGAGTTGAGAATAAGTAAATGAAGCACAAACATAAAAGGACTCTTTATCACTGTATTGAAAACTTGAATAAAATGTTCATACGTGAAATTGTAACTGTTATTTATGATTCTGTATATATGTAGTGTTAACATAGATATAAGTAGGGTTTTCGTTCGTTATACTGCCAATATTTGACCAGCAAAATTTTGGCGTGAAAATTTGATAAAATAAATCATGTTTTGGGCCGGAAGAACTCCATATAAAGTAAGTTGCTGCTTAATAAGGAATTAAACCTTGGATAGTTTATCGCCGCTATATGAACATGATACTACCACTCTAATAACACTCCAAACAACTTTACCGACAATTTTCAAGCTATCTAATAATTTAATGACGATTTTTTTAAACGTATTTATATTGCATGCCATTCATATGCTTATTTCAAAACTATTACAGGAAAGGAAATAATTAGTGATTATAAGTTTGGGTATATTCTCGATAGCAAAGGGACAAGCAGCGAAAGTGTACGAGCCAACATCAATTACATTCATAAACGTTCGAAGGTTTGAAGTCTAATAATCGTGATTATATCTTCAAACTAAGACGCAAGTCGTATTTCCCCTAAACGCGATAGTTTCTGTGATCATATTATCATATTTCGAACCCTCCTAGACGCCTGAGTAACAGACATCTTACCTGTGTTCCGAAAACTGAAGCAGACGACAACATTGATACGTAGCATAAGGCGGATCTTCGTTTTTTGTTTTGTTATTGATCTATTGCGGTTATATATATATATATATATGTATAAATTGCGGCTGTGGGTAAAAAACACGACTCTCTGCTTCCTTTCAAAAATGTCACGTTCGCACGAGCTTCGCCTTTGTGAATGACGATCAGTTCCGAGGAAACACAGAATTTCATATCTTCACTACAAAAAGAGTATAATAAATAATAATAATAATAAATAATATACAACATTTATATAGCGCCCTATATAATTTGTAAAATTACTTTAAAGCGTTTTACAAGATATGGATAATAGTAATGGTTATAATTGTGAAAACAAAAAACAAAGTCTTACAATCACTTTTATACATTTAAGCAAGTAAGGTGCACATAATCGAACAAACAAAAGGGAGGTATTTACATAACGTCTTTGCAAAGATTCTAAAATGCAGGCGTGAAGAGGTGATATATTTTGGATATTTTGACGCATTAAAAATCAGAAGGCGAAACAAGCTTCTCTTAAAGTGCCATTGCGGTTTTCAGTATCACTTGTTTTACCTGTCATTATGAATTCCTTTTAAATCTAGATAATTCTAGCCGATGTTACGCAAATTTTCGTTGTTGTTGCAATTTAAAAAAATATGCAAGATAATAAAATGTACTTATTAAAGTACTGGTATAATGTCTTTCAATGTTTATATTTATAATACGGCCGAATTCACTTAAACATATCTAAACAGACTTAACTTAATCAAACACTTTGACGGACAATATAATGTATAGCTGATGTCGTAACAGTACAGTTTTTTCTTATTGTTAAGAACACAAATATTTTTCAATTACAACTATTTCTTAAACATGAAAGTTGCAGGTGTTTTTGATGCAGTACAAGCGGAAATGTTGCTAATCAGCTATAAATGTAATCTTTGTCTAGATCTGTAAGCAACACATCGTTAAACATGACGCGACACATCGTACAGGTTGTATACATTGGTCGTTGGCTTGTTCAAATGTCACAACTGTCGGCCTCGAGGCCTGGGGCGTTTAGCGCAGTTCAACTCTGGTGTGATAGTAGGCACGTAGCGAGATCGACTCCGGTTGATAGGGGTTTACGGGTTACAGCAACATATATGTCAGATCCCTTACTGATAAACACGTCAAGAGTTAGAAAATACATCTGAGATATTTATATATTTATCACATAATGAACTATGTTATCCAGTGAATTTACCCATGTGATATCATTTTGCGTATCAACCCATGTACTATGACCTATCAGTCCTGTGTTTGGACAAGTACATGACGTCACAGACTTACGCACTGGAGTCAAAATGGCGGCTTTTTACATTTCAGGGTAGCATGATATTGTAATATGACCTATCAGCCCTGTGTTTGGACAAGTACATGGCGTCACAGACTTACGCACTGGAGTCAAAATGGCGGCTTTTTACATTTCAGGGTTGCATGAAAATTATCGTTTTACACGAATAAATGCCACAAATATTGATTATGTGATAAAAGGATCTTACACTTGCTTTCATTTCATATGAAATTCATGAAATTCTTCACGAATTTTTTTTATTTTAGCTCGCCAGAGGTTCGCTAAATTGAAAAATTCTTAGACTTCTTTCATAAATCTCATATGCAATGAAAACTTATGCAAGATTCTACATATATAATTTGAAATGACAATAATTATGACGCATGATAAACAGTATCGACATATATGTCCACTGTTTTCGTTATTGGGGTGAAGGCAATTGCTATATTGACATCAGTTAGTAATGTTGGCTCTTTCCTCGTGTCCAATCTTGGAATGAATAGCTGAGGTATAATTCGCAAATATGTACATGTTTATATGAAGTGGTATCTTTTCCCCCGTATATTTAAATTTGTATTCATGATCGCTCATATAATGAGCAAATAGTCGCGTTTGTAAACAGTTTTACTCTTCTTTTACGACTCGTTAAAATTATGATTTCTTCATATTTGTCCAACCTATAGGACTCAGTATACTCAGTATTGGCTCAACATGCCTATCATATGGTTGTTTGGAAGAAAGCGTATAAACATTTATTGATACAGTAGTACATTGTGAATCATACAATATTTAATTTAGATAATTAAATGAAGCTTCATTAGAAAAAAATAATATATGAGTATGTTTGCGATTGTTGGTGAGCATACATATTACCATTAATCAAACAATTCTTGTTATTCATGTCTGTGCTTAGCACCGAGTCATTTCATCATTGTATTTTTTATAATTATATTACGTTTTGTAATATTATCCCAACGTGTTACTTACTGTAACAATTCCGCCGCTGCCACCAGTTCAAATTAATTGAACAACACAATAAGTACATTTATATTTACACTTTATTTACAACACAAGCATTTTAATCCGTCATAGAATGTACAAGTGTTCACCATTGTGAACGCAATCTCTCCACTCCAAGCTAATCTCCTACTATAATTCCCCCCACCTAGACTACAGACGGTCACACTAATGTACAGATCCTAAACTATATCACAAGCACAATTATCTACGGCTAATCATCTGTACACTTTGAACAACCAAACGGCTACTAAATGCGTAACATATGTATACATATAGTATGGATTTTGTTATTTAATTGTATTTTGTCTTCCGTTCCATGATTGATTTGGTATGTGATTTTAATTTAATTACATCTATTATCCACTCTCAAATCATATACCTCTTACAAATGTCTTTCTCACTCTGAGTCCAAACTCAACTTGAAAAATAATGGTTACCATTAAAATAGAATGGGCGTGTATAGGACTCTTGTCTACTACCTACATACCGACGACTTGGTTGCACCAACCAAGCAACTTGTGAATAAATATTAACAATCTATTAACTTTGAGTCTCAGTTTTCCAATATTTACAATTAACTTTCAGCGTTTAATAAAACAAAACTGACATCTGCAAAATACAATCAACGTTTATCTTCCCTCTGCAAATCTTATCTTCATTGTACATTATATGTATTCTTTACCAGTAGTCAGACAAACTTACTGTCACTCAACTGACTACTGCATGCTTTATCGCAGTCTTCTGTATATTTGACACAGACTTCTGTATCTTGTCACGCAGACTTCGGTATCTTGTCACACATACTTCGGTAGCTTGTCACACATACTTCTGTATCTTGTCACACAAACTTCGGTATCTTTATCACACAGACTTCTGCTTCGTGTCACACATACTTCTGTATCTTTGTCACACATAATTCTGCTTTGTGTCACACAAACTTCTGTATTTTTTCACACAGACTTCTGTATCTTTGTCACTAAGAATTCTGCTTCGTGTCACACAAAATTCTGTATTTTTGACAGAGACTCCGGTATCTTATCACGCAGACTTCTGTATCTTGTCACACATACTTCTGTATCTTATCAAACAGACTTCTACTTCGTGTCACACATACTTCTGCTTCGTGTCACACATACTTCTGTATCTTTGTCACACATAATTCTGCTACGTGTCCCACAGACTTCTGTATTTTTATCACACAGACTTCTGTAAATTGTCTTACAGACTTCTGCTTCGTGTCACACAGACTTCTGTATCTTTGTCACACATAATTCTGCTTTGTGTCACACAAACATCTGTATTCTTGTCACACAGACTTCTGTATCTTTGTCACTAAGAATTCTGCTTCGTGTCACAAAAAATTCTGTATATTTGACAAAGACTCCGGTATCTTATCACGCAGACTTCTGTATCTTGTCACACAGACTTCTGTATCTTATCACACAGACTTCTACTTCCTGTCACACATACTTCTGCTTCGTGTCACACATACTTCTGTATCTTTGTCACACATAATTCTGCTACGTGTTCCACAGACTTCTGTATTTTTATCACACAGACTTCTGTAACTTGTCTTACAGACTTCTGCTTTGTGTCAGACAGACTTCTGCTTCGTGTCCCACATACTTCTGTATCTTTATCACACATACTTCTGTAACTTGTCATACAGCCTTTTGCTTTGTGTCACACAGACGTCTGTATCTTTATCACACATACTTCTGTAACTTGTCATACAGACTTCTCCATCGTGTCACACAGACTTCTGCTTTGTGTCACACATATTTCTGTACCTATGTCACACAGACTTCTGCAACTTCTGCTTCGTTTCACAGAGACTTCTGCTTCGTGTCACACAGACTTCTGTATCTTTGTCACACATACGTATTCTTCGTGTCACACAGTCTTATGTATCCGATAACACAGACTTTTGTATTTGTATCTTTGTCACACAGACTTCTGCTTCGTGTCACACAGACTTCTGCTTCGTGTCACATAAACTTTTACTACGTGTCCTACTGACTTCTGTATCTTTATCACA